GTACGTGCCTTGAATTACTCCTTCGTCGGATGAAACGGATCCAAGTGGGTCATTTTTCGAATTTAAATTTTTATCTCCTTTTTCTAAACGAATTAGATTCATGTAAACCGTTTTAAGGACCACTTTGGCTTGTCGAAAGTGCTTGAAAAAACGAGTAAATAGATGCAGAAGACAAAAGGGAATTTCTTACGTGTCCTCTTGAAGCCCACACAGATGTGCGATCATTTCTTCACCGGGGAAAGCGGGAGATGAAGATGGGGACAAGATGCAGCATCTCTGGGATGCTGAGTGTAGCGAGGACACCGGAGAGGGAAGAGCTCTTTGAGGCCTCGCTCTGTCTTCCAGATCTACCGACGTATCTGAAGACGGCACCTGACGGAGAAGTAAATAGTTCCTGAACAAATCCACAAGGGCCGTGATGAGGATTCGAACCTACGTCTGAGAGGATCCCATATGCTGCCTTAATCCGGCCCTTGTGGATTTGTTCATTTGCTGCATCACGCTATTGTGATTTCTGTGTGTAATGAAGGAAGAACGAAGAGGTAGAACAGCTTGTTGACAGAGCCCAGGATTGATTGATGAAGATCAAGCAACCCAACAGGTGGCACGGGCATGAATAGCCCGTAAAGAGCCCGGGTGCATGGGGGGAATGGTGTAAAAACCCTGGTTTGTGTCTCGGAGAGACTGTAGGATCCGTGTGAGGGCAGTAGAACTCCCGGTTGCAATTCTTTTTACCATGTCGTAGCACAGTCGATTAAGGCGCGTCTAGGATTTTCTCTCTCTCTCTCTCTCTCTCTTTATTTATCGAGTGGGTTATTTGTCGTCCCTCTCTCTCTCTCTCTCTCTCTCTCTCTCTCTCTCTCTCTCTCTCTCTCTCTCATCTGCCACCTACTCTCTCTCTCTCTCTCTCTCTCTCTCTCTCTCTCTCTCTCTCTCTCATCTCTCTCTCTCTCTCTCTCTCTCTCTCTCTCTCTCTCCCACTCTCTCTCTCTCTCCACTCTCTCTCTCTCTCTCTCTCTCTCTCTCTCTCTCTCTCTCTCTCTCTCTCTCTCTCTCTCTCTCTCTCTCTCTCTCTCTCTCTCTCTCTCCCTTAATTAAGTCTCCCCATCTTTGTGCTTTTTTAAAAGTTGTTCTGAGTTGTGGTAAACAATATGACTCACAAACCTCCCAAAATGATTAGTAATAAACATCAGAATACAAGAACCTTAAATGATCATCACAGCTCTCATCATTGATGAGTCTCGGTGAACCATCAAATTCTGACCAGTATAAGTTCAGTGCAAATGTTGAAGCCTCTTGTTAACGCTGCCAATAAGCAATAACTTCTGATAATTCCTAAAGTCAGTAACCTAACCAGGGAACGCAATTATCGGCGTAGTCTTTATTTCAAGTCTTGAATGGATGAATAGAACACCATTGGAGCTATAATAATCCACGGCCGGGATTTATCAAGCCTTTTCTCGTCGACTTTCGAAACCGCTACATCTTTCAACAATCATGCAGGCTTTGTTTACATTTATTAAACAGTTTACGAGCTTGGAAACTTAACAATGTAAGGTTATTATTGTTATAAATAACCTCGTAGTTCTTTACAGCTCATAAGCTGTTTAATAAATGTAAAAATTAAATTGGTTGTTGAAAGATGTATAGGCTTCGTAGTTGTGTGCTTGATAGCCGTGGTCATGTAAGAAAAACGTGAGGTATCTCACAAGTCTCCACATTCCATTTCCAAAGGTGTCGCCTTTGGTTGAAAAACATGTTGATGGGGCGCCGGTGTTGACTCCCCGCAGCGACCTCTCAGGTATTTACAAATCTCTGCCAGAAGATATCATTCGAGGGTGATTACATTTTACATAATAAACTAATGCTCAATACTATAATGCTCAACACGGTAATGCTCAATGCTGTAATGGTTAATATTGTAATGCTCAATACGGGTATGTTCATTGATGTAATGCTTAATATTGTACTAATCAATACTTTTTGTTCATTCTTAAAATAAATAATGAGATATCACAGCTTTGCATATATACCTTGCAGTTACCTTGCGATGATTTCGGGGCTTAGTCTTCCCGCGGTCCGGTCCTCCTGGATGCTGGACTGGTCAACCAGGCTGTTGGACGTGGCTGCTCGCAGCCTGACGTACGAATCACAACCTGGTTGATAGTCCTTATACAGTGAATACGGTCTGTAGGCCTTCTGCGGCGAAGTGCAGATGATGGTCAAGACATTAGTACGGAGTTGGTCGAGTTGTTGACCTGGTCCATTGTTGATGGACGAAGAGGTGCCAGTTGCTGGTGTCAATCGTGCCAGGGTCATGGATCATGATGGATGATGGATTATGGGAATGCCAGAGTCGAAGAAAGGAAGGAACTATCAGGGGGGGAAAGCGCCAAGCCATTGGGACTATATAGCACTTAGGAGGGATCAGGATAAGGATTTGGGATGGGACTAAAGGAAGAAAATGAATTATATAATTGAACCCAAATGAACAAGGAATTATGGCTGACACTGAACACTGTATGTGCTTTTCCCTTAAATTCCCAGGGAATTTGTGAGTTAATGGGAACTCATGGGAACTAATGGGTAACTCATGGGAATTCCCAGGAGTTACATATGAAAATGTACATAAGGATAGAGGACGGTTCAGAAAATCCTTTGACTAATATAGCATTAGTATATATATGTTTATATATACACATATACATACACTAAATGGGTTAAAGGCCTGAATGGGTTAAATGGGGAGACAGACCTATGTATGACCTTGTCATACACAGGTCTGTCTCCACTTCTCTCTCTCTTACTTCTACTTCTCCTCTCTCTCTCTCTCTCTCTCTCTCTCTCTCTCTCTCTCTCTCTCTCTCTCTCTCTCTCTCTCTCTCTCTCTCTCTCTCTCTCTCTCTCTCTCTCTCTCTCTCTCTCTCTCTCTCTCTCTCTCTCTCTCTCTCTCTCTCTCTCTCTCTCTCTCTCTCTCTCTCTCTCTCTCTCTCTCTCTCTCTCTCTCTCTCTCTCTCTCTCTCTCTCTCTCTCTCTCACTCTCTCTCTCTCTCACTCTCTCTCTCTCTCTCACACACTCTCTCTCTCTCTCAAGACTAAGGTACAGTATAACTGTCACTGATGTTCCGGATGAGACTGCAAATTAAGATCTGTTAAGCTGCCTCTGAAGACTAGTCCAGGAGACGTTTATTAACTGTGCTCAAAACCGCTCTCTGAGGCGACCCACTTGATATAATCACCTTGTTGGACCATTGTCTAATTCCACTTCCTTCCTTCCTTCCTTTGAATTCACAATTTTTCTTTGTGAAATTAAAGAATGCTTATAAATTTTATAAGACAAGATCGCTGGTTTGGGAGACCCAGTTAGTTAATTGTTAAGTTATGGTCCTCTACGACTTTACCTCTAAGTCCCTGGATGAAGGGGGTGGAAGATAGAGGAGGGAGGGAGGGAGGAGAGGAAAAAAGGGGATAGGTTGAGAGGAGGAGGAGGGAGAAAGAGAGAGGTTCACTTGGCAACGCTGATAACTTCACGTATACAAATATAAGGGACGAAACTTGAGAACCGGGTTTCAGGTTCACTCAAAGCTTGGAGTCCTCGTGTTCTTCAGAGTACTGAAAGTTGATGTGGAAGAGATTTAACCCACTTTTCCCCCTGTACCCCACACATATAGTGCTCTCTTCTCCCACTTAGCATCGTCTCCTCTCACATAGTTCTATTTCGTTCCCTCCCACATATAGTGTCTTCCCCCTCCTACAAAGAGCCATCCCCTTTCCACATAGTACCCTTCTCCCCAACCCACATTCACTCTTTACACAGCCTCAACCACCCTCCAGTACCATAACTTTTCAAGCAACTCTCCCACATGCAAATCTCCCTCCATCCCACTTCTAGTTCACCCGCCAACTCATCCACCTATCCTCTATTATACGTGTGTTTGATGGATGACTTTAGACGGTCACGTCACAGGAACGTCAAGTGAGAGGCAGGCAAGAGCCAGATGAACGTCAGATAAGAAGCATGACACAGTCATGTGAACGTCAGATAAGAAGCATGACACAGTCAGGTGAACGTCAGATGAAAACTAGACTAACGACAGATAAGAGTTAGGTGAACGTCCTTGCGGGCTATTCATACACGTGCCACCTCTTGGGTGGCTTAATCCTCATCATTCAATCAGGTGAGATGTGGGGTAAGAGTCGGACGGAGAGGCACAGGAGTGTAATTGAAATTGAAATAAGTATATTGAGGTAAAATACACACAAAGGGATGAGGTAGCTCAAGCTATTCTCACCCCGTTCCGTACATCGTGTTAATACATACATAGACACACATCACAAGCAATAAACGTATTACCGAACATTCTGAGAGATAAACATACACATTTTCTCCCAGGAGTGTAAGGGAGCCTAACACTGGGAATATAGGTAAGTTAATAATAAAAGTCACCGAAGGGTCAACACCCCCATTGTACCGGTACCAGGTAAATATGATAACCTGCAGCGGTTATCATATTTACCTGATACCAGGCCCTAGTCCTAATGCCCAACATAACATCACACATTTTAGCGTCCTGTGCCTTACTGTATATATATAAAGGTAAATACACACAATTTTGATTTTGTAAACACGACAATGTATATTGTCGTGTTTAAGAAGTTCTTAAAGTATAGATGAAAGTTTGGAACAATATTGTTTCAGATCCCCTCTGAGCTTGCAAGAATATACGTCACTCGCGGTGATATTTTTGCTCAAAGGGAAGCAATTTGAGGACAGAAACGACAATAAAATATAAATGAATAAAAAAAATTCGTTTAATTTTTATTTGAATGTTTCGGGCATAGTGACATTGTTCTCTTTCAGTGCTATCTTATGTATTGTTACTTCTCTCTCTTCTGTATCTATTTATATCATATATATTATATGTTTTTCCTCTGTATTGTATGTTTTTTATGTATATTTAGCCGTCTCAATGCCCTTAACAGTGTTCATCTGTTTACAGTTTAGTGCAATCAGCAATGGCGGCAGCAGCAGTGACTGGTGGAGGCTGACTTGACCTGAGCCGACCTCTCAAGCGCCTCGCCGTGGTCACCTTGCTCCTGCAGGTGCCCCAGCAGACCCTTCCTCAGGTCACGAACCCACCGTTTGATGGGCTCTTTTCTCAGGACCATCTTCCAGAGGACGCTAATCGACGTATTCTTGACTAGAAGAAGCAAGCTGAGAATTGCCGGGAAGTTCGGGAAGTAAAGTTTGGTGCGACGGTGTTGGGTAAAGCTTCACATCCAACCAAAGTTTCCCCTTCTGTCCGTCCGGTGTCAGAAAGGGAAACGTCGATCTCTGAATGCCCTAGCAGCGGTCCAGTGGCGTACCCAGAGGTCGAACAAGACTCCAAAAGGTGATATATATATATTGCGTCATGAGTGTCGAATACATTGTTTACGATGAATCAGTTAGCGCAATATCCCTCGCAATGAAAACATCTGATACTTTTACGCGCGTCAGTGACGTGTATATCAACGATTCATTTGAAGAAAACGGGACTTTTAAGGGGGCTCCACGGGATATCGCATCGGATGGCGATGAAGGGAGCGCGTCGCCCTGCATCCATCCTTCCCTCGTGCCGCCGGCGTGGAGGGCGGTGATCAGGGACGAGGAGCTGCTGTGTGTGGTCAACCCACACTGGCTCCAGTTCGACCCTCCCTCGCACCTCAGTCACACGGTCCTCGCCTCCGTCTACAGTGTCTTGATGGCCATTGGCTTCTTTGGGAACGGTCTTGTCATCTACCTTTACTTCAGGTATGTTTTTAATTTTCTATTTGTGTTTACTTTGCCCCTCTGTAACATTCGCGTGAGCGGATATGGACGTTACATAAGAACACGGAGCTGTGTTTTGTTATTGTGTTGCCTAAGCAAGTTATAAGCAAGTGCCTAAGCAAGTTATAGTGGTAATCAAGTAGTGTTTATGGAATTGGACGGGGCTCTGTTTACCGAAAAGTGTACCCCCACTTCTCGGTGTATATATACTGAGGGTTTGCTATGGTATACTAAGGCATACTTAGTATGCATACTATATAGTGGTATAGTATGCTAAGGCATACTTCTTGAGGTTATCTTGAGATGATTTCGGGGCATAACGTCCCCGCGGCCCGGTCCTCGTCTCTGGCCTCCTTTTTGTTACACATCCCTCGGGAAGCAGCCCGTAGCAGCTGTCTAACTCCCAGGTACCTATTTACTGCTAGGTAACAGGGACATTAGGGTGAAAGAAATTTTTGTCCCATTTGTCTCTGCCTTCGCCGGGGATCGAACCTGGAACCTCAGGACTACAAATCCGAAGCGCTGTCCACCCAGCTGTCAGACGACCTTGCTTTAGTAAGTACTAGTAAGTACTAAGTAAGTACCAGTACTTGCAGTTAGGAATAATACTGACATATTAGCAAGTAAGGTATTGTGATAGCCTCATTACCCTTCCAGTGGTTGTCTAGGTCAACAACGAAGCTATTACATTAAAACTTTGAATTTGCAGTTAGATGCGTTAATTTAGTTTCGAGTTTTAGATACAAAATATTTCTTATTTACGTTTAAACGTGAAAAGCGAAGAGTCGGTATATTAGGTAATGAGGAATGACCTAGGGACGAATTTCATCCGGTAAAGCGGATGATTTGAGTCCTTGAAGATGAAACGTTTTCAACTTATTCTTAAACTTTTAATGGGTGAGATGCCCAGCTTTCTTGAACGCTGAAGCCTCGGCGACTAATCTGAGCATCTTGTGAGCCAGTTTTAGTGAGCTGAACTGGCGCTGTGGTAACTGAAATAAGTTTATTGAGGTATAAATACACGCATAGGGATGAGGAGAAAATAGAAAATATTTCTTTGAATAGAAGAAAATATAGATTTCGGTAAGTTTAATAAAAAATATATTTTGGTGAGCGGGTCCAGACAAATTTATCATAAGGTATACTTAAACAACTATAAAATTTGTAAAACAAAAATATGAAGATTTACGTGAATATCTCATAACATGAATAATACCCTATTTTTTTTATATCTGCAAAGTTGCAAACTTTGCAAAGATATATCTGTGAATATCCCGATATTAGTATATTTTATTATTGACCTTAATAACTATGTAGGTTGAATTTGACTTACGTTAGTCAGTAATTAGAAACGAAAGGAGGCATTTTTAGGAAAGGTGGAAAAACCATTATTTTTAGGTCCAATTAAGCAAAATATACGGATGTAATATATATTTAATTATATGTACATTAGACAACAGACGGTTAGAAAATAGCAGATACAAATAGTAAATAGACAGGTCATCGCGGCCGAGAAGACAGTGCTCTAGAATCATAGTCCTAGGTGCCCAGGTTCGATTCCCGGCTGAGGCAGAAACAAATAGGTAGCGTTTCTTTCATCTGATGTTCCTGTTCCCCTAGCAGAAAAATAGGTACCTGGGAAATAGACAGCTGCTACGGGCTGCATCCAGGGATGTGTATGTGTGAGAGATAAATATATAGAGTAGACATGATAGGCCGAGAGTTAGTACATTAGACAACTGATGGTCGTAGTGGCGTCCAAGAGCTAATTGCTAGATTCGCACAAATAGTAAACAAACACACACACAAACACCAATTGATTGATAGTTGAGAGGCGGGACCAAAGAGCCGAAGCTCAACCCCCCACAAGCACAACTAGGTGAGTACACACATACACACACACAGGTTAAATTAGGTTACGCCAAAGCCGTCTGTAGTTTCAAAGTGTTATATGACAAAGAGTGCTGGGTAGACGGGACACCACTAGCGTAGCTCTCATCCTGTAACTACACATAGGTAATTACACTTAAGTAATTACGCACACACACACACACACAACTGTTTGGGGAGAATATGTTGCGTAAGATTTTGCAACATATTAGCAATCGTATAATTAAGTTGCCCAGTTGCCGGTTCTGCTGGTTGTGTTCCTCTGGTGTTGGCGCCTTAATGTTCGGTGCAACACACCAAACAGGGAAGTCTTATTAACAAAGGAGCATCGCTCTTCGGCGTGCCTGGAGGACGTCCTCGACGCCCTCTTGAGTGTGACACTTTATAAACACTCAAACACGCTCAGGGGCTCAAGGGACAGGAACCTGCTCATCACACAAGGCTGTGTTGTGTTATCGGGTTCCTGTGGATATACCTATATAGGTAATATATATATATATAATATACTATAAATATATAATATATATACTGTTCGTGTGGATATACTTACGTACCTAGGTATATCCATTTATCTATTCCCCCGTCTCTTAATAGCTTGTCAACTGTTATGATAAGTTGACAAACTAAATATTCCCTTATTTACTCCGAGGGAATTGGTACTTGATAGTCAACTCCTATGTGACAATCCTGATTTTCTTTCCCCTTAGCACCAGCTTTACTCTCTTGAATCTTGAAATACCTCTAAGTATTTTTAATTTTGTGATCATGTCCCCTCAAAATCTTCTTTCATATAACGTCGAGGGATTGTTGCATTGATAAACTGGCTGCAATCTCCATCAATGGTGCAGGTCACGTGATGTGCTGTGGCGTCAATGACTCCTTCATGCTCCGGTTATTTTGTAGATCTAACATATTTTTGTGTTCTTCCGGTGACAGAGTTCATGAAGTATTTACCTGTAAGTAATTTGTCTTTGGAAATTTGGTTTCAGAAGTACGAGTTTAATGAGAGAGGCTCCCGGGACAACGTGTGTGTGTGTGTGTGTGTGTGTGTACTCACCTCACCTAGTTGTGTTTGCGGGGGTTGAGCTCTGGCTCTTTCGTCCCGCCTCTACATATATATATATATATATATATATATATATATATATATATATATATATATATATATATATATATATATATATATATATATATATATATATATATATATATAATGTGTGTGTGTGTATTCACCTAGTTGTGCTTGTGGGGGTTGAGCTTTGCTCTTTCGGCCCGCCTCTCAATTCTCAATCAACTGTTACTAACTACAAACTAACTATTTTTTTTCCACGCACACACACACGTACACACACACATACACACACACACACACACACACACACACACACACACACACACACACACACACAAACACACACACACACACACAGGAGTCATTGCTGTAAACAACCGATAGCTGGAAAGGCGGGATCCAAGAGTCAATGCTCGATCCTGCAAGCACAAATAGGTGAGTATACAGGAAGCAGCCCGTAACAGCTGGCTAACTCCCAGGTACCTATTTACTGCTAGGTAACAGAGGCATCAAGGTGAAAGAAACTCTGCCCATTTGTTTCTATCTGATCCGGGAAGGAATCGAACCCGAACCTCTGGTGTGACCGCTCTAGACGTCTTGACACTTTTAGACATTCTTCCCTCACTGTGACCACTTTATTGCTAAGATTTTCTCCATTTTTCTGACACTTGTTTTCCCAACCTGTGAACTGTCCTCGCGTGAGGGGCACAGTGCCAAAAGGCTTCTAATAGTTAACAAATATTCAGCCAATCTACCCATCTCTGTCTCGTCTGACTCTGTAACAAACTCAAGATATAATATTATGTTTTACTAAGATGGGAATCTTTGTTTTATTAGGGCATACAAGGGCACACTGGCCTGGTAAGCACCAGTGTTCCGTCTTAATTTTCGCTATGTTGGCGCAGTAAAATAGGTACCTGGGTGTTAGTCAGCTGTCACGGGCTGCTTCCTGGGGGTGGAGGCCTGGTCGAGGACCGGGTTGCGGGGACACTAAAGCCCCGAAATCATCTCAAGATAACCTGACAGTATTGGCTGTTTATAAGCAAGGGATAAGTCTCCTGTTTTAGCAACTTCTGTTAGAATCTACAATGAGGTCTTGCATTTTCACTTCACACAGTCATGGCCAACACTATCAGCGAGCACCTTACTTACTCCCTGCAAATTTTATCATCCCAAGTATCTATAATAATACTAATACTATATAATACCCATTCAACAGTAAAATGGGTACCTGGTTGTTAAACGATTCTTCGCGGGGTTCGTATTCCAAGGAACATAGGATTAAGGACTTGCTTGAAACGCTACGTGTACTAGTGCCTGTACAAGAATGTAAGAACTCTTGTATATAAATAAATAAATAAATAAATAAATAAATAAATAAATAAATAAATAAATAAATATATACCTGTTAAGTAAATTAAAAAAACTTGAAATAAATGAAGTTTTCCACACAAATCGAAGAGTGAAATAGCTGTTTTGATCAGCATTATGCCCACAAGGAAAATTTAAAATAATATATTCATAAGGATAATTGTCGGAAAATCCGACACCATTTAATAATCATACAGATAATAGCTGTTGTATAAACAAGTTACCCATAGAAAACGTAACTTGTAGTGGAATTACCGTCTATAGAAAACGGGATATCATCACCACATACTATTATAATTCACCAGCTATTCTGCTGGGAATTGTTCTTAAATACATTAGTCTTTGGACTTTACCATCATAAAAACATCTTATATAAATTAACTTAATTATCAATATTAAAGTAGAGTAAATGTGACCCTTCTATCACTTTCTGAAATCTGGACAAAGTAGGCCAGGCGTGAGTGAGGAAGGAGGGCAGCCATTGTTGTGTCACCTCCGAGACGTGTGGAGCAAATTTAGCTCCTATCATTCTGGACAATGTCGGCCAGTAACGTCAATAGTATGGAGAGTTAAACAGTCATTGTTTATATTGAGACCAGAGGCTCACACGGGAGCAAATTCGGCTCCTGTTAATTTACTTGGACGTAGT